CGGAAATTCTCATTTAAAATTCGCGCGCTGTATATTTTCCGATATTTTAAGTTTATGTAGTTTGGCAGCACTGTCCTTAATTACTATGCCAAAAATGAGCGCGATCTGTCAGACAGTTCGTTTACGGCAGCTGTTGAAACCAGTTCACCTCAGTAGGGCGTTGCGAAAAAAACAATGGAAAAAAATATTGAACAAAGAGTTTGCATCAAATTTTGTGTTTCGAACGAAATTTCGTGTGCAGAATCGTTGCGAATGCTACAAAAGGCTTATGGGGAATCAGTTTTATCGAAAACTCAAGTTTATGAGTGGTACAAAGCCTTCCAGGACGGTCGTACGACCGTCGAAGACATTTCGCAACGCACTACTGAGGTGAACTGGTTTCAACAGCTGCCGTAAACGAACTGTCTGACAGATCGAGCTCATTTTTGGCATAGTAATTAAGGACAGTGCTGCCAAACTACATAAACTTAAAATATCGAAAAATATACAGCGCGCGAATTTTAAATGAGAATTTCCGAAAACTTTTCAGTCTTAATGTATATTATATCAATTTAAATGTTAGTTGATAGATATAAGGTGTAGATTGTGTCAAAAAGTCTTACATAGAAGACCAGCTACAGATGTCGTTAAGCTAGAAATTTGGTTTATCTTATTTTCATGAAGAAATATTGAGTCTAAAGAATCTATAAACTCGTAGTTGTAATATTAATAAACTAAAGTAAAGTACACGTTTGACTGTTAGTACTAGAGAGACCTGTACATTAAAACATCTCTGTTTAAAAACATTTTACAGAGTTTTAAAAATTATATAAATAATTAATATTACTTGGGCCTAAAATACAATTTGGTATTATAAAAAGATTTTCTAATACATGAAAGACTTATACGTATTATAAACTATATAGCTTGGTTTCAATATGCTAAATGTAGTCGTAAGGAGTCAAAATAGCGACATACTTAAATAAATGTTGTTTAAATTAGATTATGCTTACAAAAAAAAACTGTAAAAAAACTATATGTATAAACTATATGTTGTTGATCAAATATTCTAATTAAATCGTATCTCTTTTGTTTTATAGAACCAAATAGAGAAATCAAGCTTCAAGCCCTAACATCGATATTTTTTTTTTTTTGAGTTAAAATTCTTTTAATAAAAATATATCTGCATATGCATATTTAATCGAATAGAAATTAAAACGAACTCAAAAATGGATTTTCAAAACTATTTTACAACTACAGTGATAAGTTATTGTCAATCAAACCTTATTGTTAGCACTTATTGATGAGGAAGCGGCTGTTGAAAGTAATGAAGTTGCTGATGTTGCGGCTGAAAAATGTTGTGCTAATGTGGAGACAATCGATGAGTTTGTAGTCGCATTAGTAGAAGTGGTGACGTTAATGCAATTGGTAACTGTATTAGAAGCCAATG